GATGATACCTCTGCGTAACACTCGAGAAACACTGGTGGCGTCGATGTACTTCGAGAGGCAGCCCCGAAATGCGTGCGACGATTTTTATTGCGAATTAATTTGACATTCCACCCTTTATTCACAAAAAGCTGTTGTGAAATTCACTTGAATTTGTTAACTGACCCAAGGTCAGTGCGTGGGCTAATTTCCGTCCCTAGTTCTAGAGCTTCGATGGCGGCCAAACCTGCTGCCATTTGCGGCTGACTCTGTCACATGAACTGGAAAGATTCGCTGTTACTCTAAAGAGTTAATCGTATGCTGGTTGGATAATAATTGTTCTCAACCTCAGATTTCAGCTTAACATTTTTCACAGTGTTTTATTCAGCCTGCAGCGGAACGATACTCCTGATATTCGTAAATGTTTTCAAGACAAGCAAATAGTTGGATGATGGTTACGCAAGTTACTTAAGCTGAGAACCGTCAATCCAAAAAACTTTACCCATTGACAAAGTTTACTGAATCATGAAATAGAAGGTATCCAAGCTTTACATACATTGCACCAGTTTGTTTTCGTCGGTGCAGTATGACAGACAGATTCGAAATTCCGCGATAGTTGTTCCAACCTCCAGTTGCTATGAATGATACAAACAGAATGATGCATGACACACAATGTCTAAATTGTTCTCCATAGTTCCTGGAAAAAGTACGTATGGTAACGAAAAGGGTTTTGATCTCCGATTGATTGTTGGAAAATCGATAGACTTGGATAGATTTCATAGAAATACACTGCCCATAGAAAACGGAAAAATGGACTCACCTGGATTTACCAGGCGCCAAGCACAAGCGCTTGAGCTCAAGAATGAGACCTGATGATTGGAGGACCTGCCTTGTAATTCTGAGGTTCTCAACCTTGGGAAGTTGGGAAATAAAGAGCAGTTTGCCATGGACAACAAGTTAAGTAACCATACCTGTCAATTGTCAGTCAAAACAGTCAGTTGAAAACATTTCATCAATTACCCGTTAGATGTATCCTTCTCAAACCGAAGTTGCTGAATAAAGACTACAGCGAATTTGAGCTCATTCCATCAAAATACCGTATGCAGTGCATAAAATTCTGTTTGTTAAACATAAGGGTAGATAGGTTTAGTTGAACAAAAAATTACTCATGACATTGGATTACGCAACAAAATAAAAAAACGTGTATTCCCGGCTGCAACCCCGCGATTTTTTGAAAAAAAACGCAATGATAAAGTGGTGTTTGACATTTCGTTAATTCTCAGCACTCAAGGAAGGTAAGTCTTGTATCTAAACGAAGTACAAAGCGCACGCTTTGTGTGGGAAATATCACCTTTCCGCAGCGCGAAAATACGCTACAGTTAGACGCTGGCAAGTCCACTCAACTTGGACATTTAATTCAGTCACGCACGCTCAAAAGTACGGTTTTAACCAAGCAACGTTGTTTGTTTTTCAGGGATATCAACACTATTGTGAACGAAGTTTCAATTCTCCAAGAATGCAAAATAGGTAGGACAAATAATACTCCGTGTGAAATAATTGACGGCAAATGGGTATATGTAGTCTGGAATCGCAACATTTATGTGGAATACTACAAAGCAGGGACCCTCTGTAGGAGCTATCCGGCATCATATTTTAAGGTCCTTTTCAATGAGAAACCCTGGAACAAGCATTTTTCTGGCGGGGAAAAGAGGTATTTTAATCAATCAGTTGCTAGATTCTATTCTGAATAAGAAACAGAGACCACCGATGTTTCCGGGCCATTATTGGAGGCAAGTGCGTCCTGAATAACGAGCCAAATTTGTAGAACATTTCTACATGACGCTAACTTCAACCATGCTGTAACGCTGACAAAAGATGGTTGATATGCGGCTCTGATGTAAAACTTTAATTAATATAGTGAGAAAAAATATAAAAAATCAGCCGAGTTTAGACCCTCCGACAGTCAGAGTAGCAATTGCTTTTTGGCCCTAGTATTTTTTCGGTGCTTGTTTGCCATACCCCCTGCCGGAATGAACGCCAAAAGGTTGAAATCGAGAAATGAAGCCAAGATTTGTGCCAGAAACTTCGTGCTCAGTAAGTAAGTTTGCGTCTCAACATCTTTGCTACTTAAAACTATGTAAACAGAACGTTTTCCAGTGCAGCGTCTTACGATGTTGCCAGGCAAGAGTGGCTACTATGTAGCTTCCAAATTTCTACCTACAGTCATATTGAATTCCACAGGTGCAACGGTTGATTGCGCGCTACTTAGGCCCAAGTCAATAAGTCACCTAAGCAAGGAATTGGGCACCGTATTTGATACATGTAAATTGTTCGGTTTCTGGAGACAGTTGATTGACCGGCTGTGCCAATAAGGCTCGACTTATTTTATACTCATCTAAGTTGTCCCCCAGATTTCTTCTGATGCCACCACTGATCGGCAAACTTTTTATCCAGCAAAGGAGTCTGGAAGAAAGTAATAATAGCGACTTGGCTAAACAGGCTACCTGTTGACATTTGTCTCCTAGAAAATTTGTGAGATACGCACCGCCGATTGCATGCAACATAAGCGAAATAACTGTAAAGCGGTTCTCGGCTTAATTTGCATTAACCGGCATCATCAACAGGACAAATTGTTACTTGAATGCAAGTTGCTCAAATTTTGCATAGTAACCTGGCCACTTTGAGCAAATTATAAGAACTGTGTCTTCTGCCAACCAAACAAGTTCACCTGTTAAAACTTGGTGCTCATGAGCACAGTCACAGCGAAATGAATGTCACATGTAAATAGAAATAACGGCGTCATTCAAAAAACTGATATATTCAAGGGTGCATATTCTCCTAAGATCCAAGGATTTCAGTTAGCTTATACGTGTAGGCTGATTCTTGTGACACAAAACGTCCTCGATATTTTGTGAACGAAGACAATACCGCCCACCTTCCACAAAATCTCGCTTCAGCGACTACCATTCGTAAGACATCTGGGATCCTCAACTGCATTTGTTGATCATGCTGATGTTGACTCTCGAGAGGAAAATAATACAACAGTTGTTGGACAATAAGCATCATCAAGGAATCCGATAGACTGTGGAATTTATCTTGCCTACAAACATGTGGATGTTAACCCAAAAGATAGCTTGGTGAAATAATCGCTCGACAACTGCACGACGACTAGAATGTTCCACGGAAATGATCTGCACTCTTTAAGATTACCCCTAGATTTGATGCCCCTGAATTTCACTAGACCCTAGCCACATGGCTACGTCCCTTCTCATTCAATGGAGGAAGAAAACCCTCGGTTACCCTTTTTCTTAATTTTTAGCTCCGCGACGCGTGTTCATCAGTGCTTGAGTTATTCATGCAAGCAGTTTCTGAATCAAGGTCCACAGCTATTCAGAGGCAATTAGTTGTTCATTCAATTTGCATTTAATTTGCCTGTATTGTAAGAGATTGAAAATGTTTACCAAAGTTTTGCTTGCTCGATTCCTTACCGCCCACCCAAATTATCAAGATTCGAACAACGACGTTCTCCTGGGCGTGCTACAAGAACATTGGTCATACTGAACATACTCATCTAATTAAAAGCAATGTAGCCACCTGCAAACAGGAAATGCGAATACACCAAACCGATTCAAACCGCTGTCCATACCTCAATACCAAAGTTTTCGGGCATATCTGGAGAGACAGATCAATGTACACGTCAAAATTAATCATATCTAGGTAGTTGCCACGCTCCTCTAAAAGCTCGTGGCATTTTTATATCACCGATGAATACATCGGGATGAGATTCTCAAATTCTTCACTACAAGAGCATGGGAATCGGGATTCGTAGTTGCCTACTACGATATATAATTTGCCCAACCATTCAACAGCACAATTACGCTAAGATTACACGCCACTAACCAAGGATAGTAAACTATCGAAAACTCAATGAGTCCGGTTTCACCTCCACGGCACCTTAATTTATTGGATACCGTAAAAAGTTACACATTTGTTTGAAGGTAACACATATTATTGATTATTTTCAGTTGACCAATACTGTAAGCAAACACATTTTCATACACATTCAAATAACATAACTTTGGCTAAATTTTGTTCTACCATTTTTTGATTATTTTTATATTTGAAGCCGCCTCATTCGTCTCGTTCTCCTCTCAACGGGCCAAAATTTATCTCCTGTCCAAAATTTTAGGAGATGTCATGCGTCAAGTTTCTTATGCGTGTTTCTAATTACTGCACTCCATTAAAGCTGCTCAAGTGTGTAAGTAACTTGTATATTGTTTTTACATGTGAATAATATTCAAAACTGTAGGGGCCCAACAGAAAACACCTTCAAAAACTTTTAGCAGTTTTCTGGATAACCCTGTCTATGAAACTGCTCTGCTCGTTCGAAGCTAGTTGATTCGAGAATTTCTTTAATAAGAACTTGTCTGAAATGCATTTATTTGGCCTCCTTTGGTCGAGAACTTTGAGGTGCAGACCATTCTGTCTAATCAGCCATTGGTCTGAAAGCCCAAACGCACTGAATAGCTCACAGGATAGAAGCAACACCGCATGAAGGATCGTCGTGGCACGATTGTATGGAAAAACTCACGTAACGAGAGGAATCCTCCGGCATGTCTCAGGCGTTTGTGGCTCCAGTATGTGCGGATATCCTGAGTGATGGTTAAATCATCCGGAACCATGAAGGCGGTCACTACGTCATCCCTCCAGGCGCCCAGACTCATATGGCTCTTATTGGAGAAGTATATGCCTTTTCAAGTATGTGAATCGAACGCATCTGCAGTTCTGGCACATTTGCCACGATGTCACTTTTTCTGAGTTTACATCCTAGGGGGACCGTTGACGTGCACTGATTATGCGTTCTGTGTGAAACACTACTCTAAGGCTTGCCTTCATTGTTCTGGGCTTACCGGAGTGACGACATCAGCAAACGATGAAAAGCTTTTAGATAATAATACGTGCATACCAATGCAGGGGATTCAAATCGGTTGTGTCGGGTTCTGCTGCCACATTTTCCTTCTTAGTACCGCGAACCCCGGTCTGGATAGCCGCTTGATTGCCTGGTGCGCTCGGCCAAACCAGAAAAGTCAAGTGAACGTGCGAGCCAGCTACTCTGTTGATCACTGTCGCGTGCAAGCGGTCAAGAGTGATACTAAGAATACAACCCATCCGTTCAAGGGCGAGTGAAGAACAACCAATGAATTCTGTCTCAGCAAAAAAGGGTTATTCCATTGGCAGTTATGTAGTCCCGTTACGTTCAGGGCTGGTTCTCTTAATAAAACCCGGTTTCTTTTCATGACATTCATTTCAGACGATTTGTTCAGCAAGTCTCAGATGTCGCATGTATTTGTGTTCGCTTTCCGGGCATACTTATATTCTTTTATTGAACCCATCAAAAATGTTTGAACTACCTACCAATGTTTTACGACCTACTCATCCAATGAAAACGTTTTGTAGAAATCTCTGGAAGAAGCCTCTTTGTACAAATAGGCGACTTTTCTCCCATCGACCTAAACCTCACCGGAGGGCAGTCGTTTTTGCCCGCCAAAAGCACAAAATACTTTGTCCTCGCTTACCCGTGCCTAATAAAATCACACAGAAAGAAATCATTGCACAACTCGAATCTTATATTGAACTTTGAAAATAGTGAAAAAGATGCTACTTTATGTTTTTTTCCTTAAGGCGCCTCGAAGCGTGAGTGAATAACTATGATCGATTTGAGCGCGAATGTCGTTGCTTCGGTTTCGCGGAATCAACCCAAGGAAAATTTTAAATCACTCATGTATTGATTTTGCTTGATTCTAATACTGGATGACTTCCTCGGGATGTTCTTTGAACTCAATAGTATTCGGTAAGTTTTATGGACCATTTGACTTTGCCCGAATTTTATGCCAAAACGTCTTTGCATTTTCTAAGGGCTTAATTTTTTTCCGTAATCGAAGCACATAACACCAACGGCAAACAATTAAATCCAGTTGAAGCCTCGCATGAGTAGTCTCCGTTTAAATATAAATGTGGATTTTGACTAAAATCGCGAATAACATTTTTTCGAAGTCCAAAATTTTTCGGAATGTGAAGTCCCCACACGACGGACCAGTCGAGGCCACCTCGTTCGCGTGATGCGTAAATGTGAACTCTGCGGCAAAGGAATAATGTACTCAGTTCAAGCAATTTAGAAACTATTCCATCATTTCGGATGATAAAGGAAGGCCACGCTAAATTTGAGATCACGAGTTTGAAACTCCGAGCTTCAGCGTGGTCTCTGCAGCTGATGATTCTCGGTAGGGTTTGTCGGATTCATCGTGCCGTATAATGAATAATACGGTTTGTCGCAACTCACTATATCAAAGAATCTACATCTTCTTTCAGCATTCAAAAAATCTCGTCGTATTCTGTGATGTGATCCCTCTGCCCTTTTTCCACTGCAAAATAAAAAGTGGTCCAGAGTAAGTGTGAGAGAAGTAGAGTTCAAAAATTACTATTTATATTAAAATATTAAATCGTTTTTCACTGAAATATGGTCATGCTCTTTGATGACACACCTGTTGTTGTGGTACGTGTCACAAAAATGCAACCCCATTAGGAAGACGGCGACGCGAGCAATTCAGCATTTATTATCATTTGTTTTTAAAAAGCAAGGTCACAAGCAACAAAGTGTATGTAAGTGACGAGTGTGGAAGGTTAGCAGGAGAATATGACGTGTTATTCGAATTCATGACGCCAACAGTTCCAGTCAGGTGAGATGAACCACAAATTATGTAAACAGATTGGTATGGAAACACGCGTCTAGTGACTAACAACCGAAGAAAAAACAAACAATGCTGAACGCTCTGTAAGGCGCGACGAGCGCTAGCGCAATCAAGACTCGCACACCACGCACAGAATGCCCGTCATACTGTGTCTGGTGTGAGAATAAATGGCAAAAATGTACACTCAACTACATGTGCTACGCATAAGAGTGTCACAAGCACGCAGAGTGCAAGCAAATGCAAGTCGCTAACTGTGACCTCGGGATGTCCCTGTCCAATAAAGACCTTCGCGGACTGAGGAATTCAGATCCCTCGAAAAGAGGTGAGCATCGGTTGATGGCACGAAAATTCGACGGCACAACCGATTGCACGTAGGGCTGCGATTATCGCGAGGGAATATTCATCAGCACAATACTTCTGCTTCTTCTCATTCCACACAGTCACTCCGCGCAAATCACTCGCATCACGAAACGCCATCCCGTCACACAGCATTGCAGATGCACCCGCAATCATTGAGTCAAAAATAAGGATACAAAATAATTCTTTCCTTGCCCACCGCAACGTACGGATTCCCTAACTTGTACCAAATCTTCTATCAAAAACCCGTCGAGCAAATCGGGAAGTTTACACGAATTTGTAAATTGCAAACGGGACAGTGATGGCAATGTTGGCAAAGCTGGTCAGAAATTTTATCCTGTCAGCCCAGCGAATCCACAATAAATGGGCGATAGACATTATAATCTTTCGCTCTCGCTGCGAACCAACTGCAGTGTACTTGGGGCTGCTATTTCTAGGCTCCCAGAATTTCCTGAGACGCGCACTGCCGATCAATCCCAGTGTGGTTGCAACAGGTTCACAGAACGTCTCCGGTTTTTCACCACACGCTGGTCTTATCAAAGCCCCTCAGATCATCATCAGTCTAAAATCAGCTCAGACGGTGTATATTTCCACAAGGTGAGTGAACCTTTCTTGTAAGCAATCGCCGCTCGAGGCCGCATTCAGAACGGAGTCAGGTGATTTAGTTTCATCGATTGAAGTGTGGGTGGTACTGAGTGCTAAATTAAAGTTGGCACGAACCATCAATCTAAACAGCAGGTCATACACAGGTGGCTGGGTACAACCATTGACCAGATAGTCACGTGCTCGAAACCCAATGAGATTCGTGAGGTACGCCCTGCTGGTAATTCCCAACAAACCGGCTCTCAGCTTTTTTCCATTGATTGGTTTTACTGACATGATGAATTTTATGGGGGATTTTAGGCTGAATATTTCGTCGCTCCAAGAGAAGCTCAAAAGCATCTCACAACATTTTTGCCCTATTAGTAGAGGATTTTTAATTTGATGCGGGAGAATGCCACAATAATTTGGTAATTACCTGTTTATAAAGCATAACATTGAAAGAATATGTTTATGGACTAGCCGAGGGGAAGACAAAACACACAAAATTGAATGAAAACCGACAGCTAAAAAGGGTGGTTAATTATGCCCGACTTATGGATATCAATCAACACTCAGTTGCTAAATGCGTTTTTTTGACTCACTGTGGAACGTTAATCCGGAATGCAAACGTTGTGAACATAGCTGCCGGCTGATCCCCGATAGAAGCTCAGCGAATGCTTGCTCCCATGCGTCTCAAAAACAATGAAAATATGACTTGGCAGCCGTTCTCCTGCATGAATTTATACAATTCTAATGGAAATAATTCGAGCGTTTTCGCCAACAACGCAGTGGTATTTGTACTTTTCAGGACAGGAGATATGTAAGTTTTGCCCAACGCTAACCACGTTTGCGACTTATTTGATCTTAATATAAAATTATCTGCATCATGCTTATGAAGGATGATGGATCGCTGATTTGCTCGCTTTCCAAATTATCTGTATCGAGACTCACGCGTTCTACGCTGGGCCATGAGCCAGTGCCTTGAGGTGACATCGGGATTGTAAGCTAACCAGCTAACAGTAAACGATTATAAATTAACGTTTCTAACGAACCAATATAAAGTTGAGTGTTGATCTGGGCTTCCACATTTATGCAGCAAAAATTTGAGTTGATCGCGGCGAGACGAGCTGCTATGGCACGATTTCTTCGAACATGCACATGGCCACATTTTCAACAGGTGTCCCAATTCGTACCCAGCTGCGTGAACGAATTCGCAGAACCAGTGTGCTCAGGTTATCTCAGAATGACAAAGTGACTCCAAAAAAACTGACTGCCAAAACCGTCTTTAATTGCTGCTGTTGTGTCCGGTTGAAGAACACTCACATTGACATTGATTGCTTGTTACTTACTGTCTTCTCAGCTGCGCGCCACAACATATTGTTGGTTTGCTCAAATATGTCGCCATTAGCTGACAAGTGGTTTGGACAAAAGTGCGAAAATTTATTGTTACATTTAGGCAATGCATGCGAACCGTTTTGTTTTTAGGTGCGATGCTTTTTTCTGCCCATGCAACTGAGAATTTTCTATGGTTGGTTCCATTTATAGTGAGGTTTACTTCTGGCTTTTTAGAGTTTTGCTCCACTACCAATAGTCTGTAACTGTTCAGTCGGTGTTTCTCTAGCAAACAACTCTTCGGCTTAGGCCTTCTTCCTTTTCTCCATCTTCACCGCTTTGGTCAGCACAAACAATGAGAGAATGTAACGAAGCGAAGTTGCTTCAAAAATTACTTCTTGTTTATTATTCTGTTAGCACATATGTGATTCTGTCTCCAACCGTTATCACTACAAGAGATACGAGAATGTTACACAAATGACACATTAGCCAAATCTTGTCTCCAATGCGATTTCTAGGTTAGAAGTATTAAAATTAAACATAAGTGGGAACCAGTAAGCTAATCTCCGTCAGATGCTTCGGCCATCCATCATGTACCGTGAAACTGACACGTGTGAGATTTATTCGGCCTCAGAAATGATTTCACAGAAAGGTTTAAATGTCGAGTTTCGATTCATACAATTTGTCACTTACGTATGCTTTTCAGCAATGAAAATGTGTAAGTCCACAGAAACGCACCGCACTGATTAAACTTCTTAGCCCTTATTGTAGTTTCCCGAATAAGTTATTAATTGTAGTCCACAAGTTCATGTTGGAAAATATTTGCCATCATTATTGGAATTTCGGGGTGAAGCGCAATGAATACGGAAATTTCCTGTCGCCGTACCATCGCAGAGCATATTTTTTGCCAGGTGAGAGCTGAAAGCAGGCAGCTGGAATTTGATGCATATCAACCAGTGGACGGCACGATCAGCCCTAATGGATTACCTAAAAATAACGCGACTTGACCGATATGTGTTCTCTGAAGTGGAATCCCAGGCGAATATGGCGGAACATCCAGTCTATTCAAAGTTGTTGTACAAAATATGCATAAAAGCACATAATTCCAATTACTGAAGTATTAGAGGAACAACTTGATGAATGAATCCGCTAACAGATGTCTAAGCG